TGGAAAGCTTTCAGTTCTGCAGCCTTTCTCTCTTTGGGAATAGTTCCAAATTTGTTCCTAAGTCCCTTATAAGCTTCCCCTCCTCCCACCCACCCCTGGGATTGTGGAGATAGCGGCTGCACAGCACTCAGATGGATCAATACTCCACCCATTACCTGTAAGTAACCACCCACTGGTCGTCATCGTCACCATCATCATCATCATCATCATCATCTCCTTGTGAACCATATGGGGTTGGCTGCTTCATTCTTCAGTATCCGGGTATTTCCTCAGTTTGGTGGGCATTACACTATTAGCTCACACTCATACAGCCCCTAGCCTGGCTGTGGGTGATTCCTACACTAGCAGTGGATGAAGGGAAATACAGCAGGGGTAGTGAGTAGGGAGATCTGGGATGTGTAGGGTTCTGACAGCCATTCCATTGCCTTCCAAAAATATCCATATGTTGCACCTGCTGAATTCCTAAGATGTCCACAAGCCCTCACCCCTGGAGGTTCAGCAGTTCAATGTGAAAGCAGGAAGAAAACAAGTAAAATACATCAGCAGGCACGTTCTGGCTTGTGAGCAGTGCAGAAATGGAGATAAATTGGACATGGACAGTGTGGTAGAGAACAGACGAATGAGGGGTCAGCCGATACCAGCCGTACAATCGTACTCATTGGTGAGCGTGGTACAAAGACAAGACAGCACTGCCAGGCATGTTGCAGAGTCACTCTTTTAATCCCTGTCTCCTGTCCCTCCTCTGTGGCCTGCAAAGCTCACCACCATGTGTCCTAAAACAAGGGACAAAGGACACAGGGTCTTTCTTATGTTGTGTCCTGCACATCTAACCCATCTGACAGTATCAGTTTTAACAGCTACTCTATGACATTACACTGTTTTGCACCTGAGACCACAGGTAGGGAAGGGCTACCTCACCTGCACACAGCTGGCATTTCTAAATCACATACAGAGATGTAATTTTCAAACCATCAACTTCACACATTTAGACAGACCATTTAAACTCAGTGATTTTTATTAACTTACCCTGTTTAGGAAGGAGAAGTGTACACCCTGGTGACTCCCATTCATTGGAGTAGCTCCTAGTCCCCACCATCAGAGTATGGAGGGGACATCAAAGGAAGCCTGGCCAGCAACCTCGCCAGGAGATACCATCCATCTCCTGTTCTCACTGGGCGCACCTGCCACCTCACCGGACCGTGCTGGTCTACACTGGAGTGCCCTGAATATCCTGAAAGCTACACCCCAGGTGGCTTTGCTGGGGGCACCATGCTAGGAGGGTGGTCACCTCAGGAATCCTATGGGCTGCATTCAGGGCGTCTGGAATCCCTCAGTTTCTTGTAAAACCAAACGTGTAATTACCATATGAACTAGCAATAGCGCTCTCTTAGGCAGCTCAGGCTGCTATAACAAAATAGCATTGACTGGGTGGCTTAACCAACAGAAATGTATTTCTTATAGTTCTGGAGGCTGGGAGTCCAAGATCAAGGTGTTAGCTGGGTTCAGTTCCTGGTGTAATCTATGTTCCTGGTTTGCTGACAGTCCCCTTCTCTCTATGCCTTCACATGGTGGAGAACAGATGGATCAAATGTCTCTCACTCTTCTTATAAGGACACTAATCCCATTACAGGGGCCCCACCCTCATGACCTCATCTAAACCTAATTACTTCTGAAAGATGCCATCTTCAAATACCATAAGATTGGGGATTAGGGCTACAACATATGAAGTTTGGGAGGAAACAGAAACATTCAGTGTATAAAAAGCACACTCAAGCACTGATCTCAGAGAAATGAAAACTCATGTTTACACAAAAAAACCCATACATGATTGTTTATAGCAACTTCAATTGAAAACTGGAAGCAAACCCATGGATGTCCTTCCATGTTTGCATGGTTAAACAGGCAGTGGTACATCCAATCAGCGCAATACTATGCAGCCATAAAATGTGCAAACTATGGATACACACACCACCTGGGTGGATGTCACTGAAATTATGCTGAATGAGAAGGCCAATCTCAGAAGGTCATTCATGAGCACTGTTTGATCCCATTAATAGAACATTCTTAAACCAACAAAATTATAGAGATGAAAAATAGTTTTGAGGTTGCTAGCAGGAATGTTCACCATCTTTGTCCTGACTCAGGTGAAAAGTAAGTATTTCCCTGAGTTCTATGAGCTTTGTTAGCAAATTAATCAAACCCCCAAAGGGGGCTATGTGAGTCTTGATTTATAGCCAGTCAGTCCAAAGCACAGGCAAAAAGACCTGGTGTGGGGCTGGCCCGGTGGTGCACTGGAGAGTGTGCCGCTTGGGAGTGCGGCGGCGCTCCCGCCAAGGGTCCAGATCCCATGTGGAGACCGGTTCCCGCTCACTGGCTGAGCATGGTGCGGGTGCAACACCGAGGGTTGCGATCCCATTACCGGTCAGTAAAAAAGACAAAAAGGAAAAAAAAAAAGACCTGGTGTGTGCAACTGTCATTGGAATTGGGGCAGTTTTGGTGACAGAGCCTTCGATCTGTGGGATCTGATGCTATAAATTTTCCATTTTTGGAGAAAAGTCCTTTTTTACCCAATCCATCTTGTTCACAGTGAGGGAATGACTGTGAGTCTGGAATCCTGAGGATATTGCCAACCTCTCTATAGCAGACAGTGTCCATCACAGAACTGCACAAGCCAGCCAGGCCTACTAGGTCATCTTTCCTGCAAGGTGGTTATTCTACCTGTCCACACCTGCCTCCTCTTCTTTGCTGGTGACTGGAAATTGAGAGCCCACTATAGGCGAATTGAGAGCCCACTATAGGCGCTGAAACCAAGAAGAAATCATCCTGGCGAGACCTGAACACCCCCACTAATCACTACCACATTGTGTCAAATCCACAGTATAGTAACAGGTGTGGACAGGAGCTGCCACTCTGCAGGAAGGAGATGACAGCACAAGAAAAAAAGTGCTCTGTGTCCAGCATCAAGCCTGATAACCAGTGGCTGTGGTCAAACACACAGAGGCTGTTACAGAACAAGTGTGAGTCTGCCTGCCCTGTGCACAGCCAGTCTGCCTACCCTGTGCACAGCTAAGGAAATCACTGAACACCAAGATTTGCTGGCAAGAAAGCAGTTTTCATACAGGGCCATAAAACCCTCATTCCAGGGGGGTCTTGCTCTGTGTCCAGAGACTAAGGCCTGAACAAACAGGCCCTGCTGAGCTTCTCCACTTTATTCTCACAGGTCAGACCACCATGCTTCTCCAATCACACTTCTGCATGGCTGTTCATGTTTCATCAAACCCAAGCATAAAAATAGATGTCTCTGTTTATTTGGGTCTTCACTTCTGAAGTCTCCCTTGGCATATGAAACTTTTAACTAAATTTATTATTCTTTTCTCTTGTCAATCTGTCTGTGTTATGGGGGTGTCAGCCACGAACATTGTGATGGGTGAAGAAAAGACACTCCCTTCCTCCCCTACATCGGCACTGTGGGAAATGAATAAGTGATACCTTAGTGACTGTTGGGTGGCCATGCACTGGCTCTCACCTGATTGCAAAGCAAGAGAGAGGTAAAGGCAGTGTTGGGAGAGTTCGAGGGGAATGGTTAGTTCAAACTTGGAGATGTTCTGGTTCAGTAAGATCCAACGGCAGGTGTCCAGTATTTGGACACAGTGGTCTGTAGATGGGGAAACTGAGGTAGGCTGGATTTAGCATATGGCACTCACTGAGTCCCTGGGATTGGTTCAGAACCAAGAGGGTCGAGTGTGCTGCCTACACTCTCCAGCCCAAGCCCTCCAGGAATGCAGTTGTGGCCGAGCAGGTCAGGCTTGTCACTGATGACTCCCAAGGAGAATGCACCCTCCACACCAGGGGGCAGCTCAGTAAGAGGGTGTTCAGAGGAAAGGATTACGCAGCGTGGGCTCTGGTTGGGCAGTTTCAAAGAGCATTTAAGAAGAGATTCCTTTTGGGTTGGATTCTGTCAGAAAATGGGACAATTCCATGATTGGGTGTCTAAGTAAATCTGACCCACAGGGAAGGCTGTTAGAGTGAGCTAAAGCTGGTGAGGAATCAGTAGTGACACATTTTAGTCAAGAGGGGGTGTTTGGCCTTGTCCATCTGTGCCAAGACATAATATGAGGTGGCCTGGCTCTGTCTGAGAGGGACCTCATCTGAGGCTGATGTCCTGCAAGACAGGTTATGTCCAAGGGGAGAAGGACCTCTCTGCCAGCTTTCAGATGTCCCAGGCTGGACTCCTGTCTCAAATTTTCTTTCTTTTGTCCAGGAAAACATTAGGGTGGGGTGGCTGGGTGAGAAAGAACCTGAGGCAGCCTTTGTTAAGGTGACAATGCACTTACCCCACAGCCCAGTAATCCCATATATTCGGGGAGGGGGAGGCCAGTGGTGGCCAGGACCAGAGCACAGACTTGGGGGAAGGACACAGTGTATGGAATTTAGGAGGTTGGTCTGTTTTTATTATGCCCATGTGCCTACAATCCCAAAGTCCTTAATGAGTCCTCTCCACCACAGGACCCGGGCGGCAGCTCCTCCCCGTCACTTGTCATGTTTTGTCCAAGAAGTCTTACTGGAGGCCTGTCCACAATGGAGACGTCCTGGGAACAAGCTGCACGCCAGTGGCAGGGACCAGGCAAGCTACGAGGCTGTAGGTTGTCTGATGAATCAGTACCAATGCACACAGCACTTAGAATAAATGTGTGCCAGTGTGTGAGCATAGAGACGCCTCACAGCATGGCTGAAAGCGCCCAGGGTCCCAGGGATGTCTTCCTAAGGACACCTTCTATGGGGCACACAGGCCAAGACAGGGAAGCCCCCCTCCAAACACCAGGAAGTGGGCAGAGTCCTCATCCCCCTCCCCCAAACAAGAGAAAGTGATGAAAGAGAAGACACCTCCGCCGGTCTTGCTTTTTCATTGGCCTGTCCGTGCGTTTGCAGCGAGTGCTGGTGGAGAGGCTGAGGGGGCTGCACGGGGCGTACCCACCACACCCCCCCCACAGGGCAGGTGCTCAGCATGCCTGGGCCAGGTTGTGCCTCTTGTACTGCTGCACCCACCTCTTCCCATGTTCACGCAGCCATGCAGTGGGGAGGTCATGGGTGCAGACCAGGAGCCGGCCAGGCCCTTCTCCGTCAGCCACCGGTGCTGTGGACAGCCAACTGCATAGGGCCAGCCCCTGGAGCAGAGGGGTTGGGGGGCGGGGTGGCAGGATTTGCCAGGACTCGATACATAGCGTGCTGCCCAGGAAGGCCATGGTGCCCAGACAACCCCGTGAAGCGGTGGCTCAGCTGGATGAGGCCCTGCTCAGGAATTTCTGCAGGTAGCATGTCCCCTCACTACTCACTGGGTACTCACTGCTCAGCCTGTGCAGGCAGGGGACCAGGAGGATGAGATCACCCTCAGATGGACAGTGACCTGCCCCACCCACCTAACATCCACCAGACATGTGGGAGGACTCACATGCTGAAGACTGTCATGCTGATGTTCCAGCATGTCTGTCTGCAGAATGGCTCCCTGGCCCTCTAGGAGCCCCAGGCCTGGGGAGGGGCACACGTAGATGAGCTCAGGTGACTGGGCACAGGTGGCTGGGCACAGAAGGAGGGGTACAACTGTGTGGGACTAGGTATGTGGGCACTGGTGTGTGGGCCCAAGTTTGTGGGCACAGATGGGCAAGCCAGGGTGTGTGAGTCCAGGTGTTTGGGGACTGGTGTGTGCGCACAGGCGAGAAGCTAAATGGGTTGCAGTGGAACTAGGAGAGGGCAGGAGGGCAGGACTGGTGGGAAAGTGACTTCCTTTTGCACCCCCATCGGTTAGGTTCGCTTCTCTGTCCCACCACCACCAACCCCCAAACACCCACCCATGGTCTCCAGGTAGTCCTTGAACTTCTCCGATGGCAGCACCTTTTCTGGGCTCAGACACCTATTGCCCAAGTCCATGATCTTGAGCAGGTGTTTGGTGGTGATCATGTTCTCAAACCTCAGGTCCAGGTGCAAGATGTACTGAGTGTGTAGGTTCTGGTGGGACTGAGCATCTGCCACAGGTAGTCCTTCACCTTGGACTCTGAGTAGGAGGACCTGGGTGCAGGTACTGCTCAGGCCAGGCCCCGGCTGGAGGGCACACGCATGGGCAGGGACATGGGGGACACTGAGATGAGGGCTGTGGGCTGCCAGTGACCAGGCTGGTGGAGGTGGGCCAGGCCCCCACGGCCCCTCCTCAGAGCCCTGTGTCCCTCTGTCCATCACTCATGGCTAGCCCAGGCTGCCCTCACCTCTCAGCCAGACAAGGGAGCAGCTCAAGCCTGGAGCACATCTTCAGGATGAGCAGCAGGTGCTGGGGCTGAAGTAGGTGGCACGCAGCTGGAACTCACTGGCAGTCCTTTGTGGGACTTCCTGTGGGCGAACTTCCTGTGGTGTCCAGTGGTTGAGCAAAACTGTTGCTTTGCTGCTGATTCCCTGGGGAAGGATTTTGTGCAGCTCAGGTTTTAATGGTGAGCTTTATAGGTACTTCCAGCTCTCATGAGATCCAGTGCATCTGGGTTGTGTGGAAACTCTGGTCTGGGCCTGAGTCTTTCAGCAAACTGCACCCCTTGCAGTTCTATGTTCCTGACCAGTCTCTACTGAGTGGTCCGACACTGCTTGGTGGGCAGATCAGGTGTCCTTGCTGTGCCCCATTATTCCCACCATGGTGGGCCCAACTCCCCCACTACCTGTACTCCAAACACTTCCCATGGGGCTGGCTGTGTTCTGGTCCCTTGCAATGACTCACCCACCTTTGAGTGGCTCCTTTTTTTCACTTGTTGTGGTTCCTCGGTCCTATGTGGGTACCTGGGATCCCTATTACTGGTCTTACTGGCCTGGGAGCCACCAAGGCCCTCTTCTCCCCTGCCACCTTCAAGAAACTTCATCAGAAGGGCACAGCTGTGGTTTTTGCCAACTCCTGCTCCATGCACTCAGCAGTTCCAGCCTGGAAGCAGCTGGGATTTGAAACTGCCAGAGCACTTTTTTCTTTCTCTTATCATGACTTCTCCTGCCTTCATGCACCCTATAGGCCTCTCCTCTTCCTCTGAGCTCTAGTGGCCCCAGCTTGGCTGTTGTTGCTTTTTAATAGTTGTAAATTGGCTGACTTGTGGGAGGGAGTGATGCTACAGACCATCTATTCTGCCATCTTGACCAGAAGCCCCAGGTACAAACTTTAGAAAAAATGAACTCCTCCACATAAGAGACAGTTTGGTAAAAATGGTAATAACATTTACATATGCTAGTTCAGTAGAAAAAAAGTCTGTAGAGCCATACTTTACATTTAAGATATTTAACAAGATATAAAGAGTCTAGTGTGGCATTTAATCTAATAAATTGAGATGTAAATNGGGCGGAGGGGCGCGGCGGCGGGACTCACCAGGGCTGGGCGCACAGCGTGCTGCGCAGGAAGGCCACAGCGCCCCCCGACAGCCCCGCGTAGCAGCGGCTCAGCTGGATGAGACCCTTGCGGAGGCTTTTCTGCAGGTCGCGGGTCCCCTCCCAGCTCACCGGGTACTCGGCGCTCAGCCTGCGCGGGTGCGGGGGAGGGGGGCGCTCTGAGATCACCCTCGGATGGATGGTGGCCTGCCCCGCCCACCTAGCATCCCCCAGACACGATGGAGGACTCACATGATGAAGGCTGTCACACCGATGGCCCAGATGTCTGTCTGCGGAACGGCTCCCTGGCCCTCCAGGAGTTCCGGGGCTGGGGAGGGGCACACATAGGTGAGCTCAGGTGGGTGGGCACAGGTGGGTGGGCACAGGTGAGAGGCCAGGTTTGTGGGCCCAGGTGTGTAGGTACTGGAATGTGAGTACTGGTGGGTGGGCACATGTGAGTGAGCACAGGTGAGAGGCCAGGTAGGTTGCAGTGGAACTCGGAGGCAAGGTTAGGACAGGACTGGCGGGGAGGGGACTTCCTCCTACCCCCACAGGTCAGATTCCCTTGTCTGCCCCCAAATCACCACCCACACACGTACCCATGGTCTCAAGGTAGTCCTTGAACTTCTCCGAGGGCAGCACCTTCTCCTGGCTGAGGCTCTGTGCATTGCCCAGGTCCACGACCTTGAGCAGGTTGTACTCAGTGACGATCATGTTCTCGGACCTCAGGTCCAGGTGCAGGATGCAGTGGGCATGTAGGTACTGGGTGGCACTGAGCATCTGCCATAGGTAGTCCTTCACCTCAGATTCTGAGTAGGAGGCCCTGGAGGCAGGCATGGCTCAGGCCAGGCCTGGGCTGCAGGGCACGCACAGGAGGGACGTGGGGGGCACCAGGGCGAGGGCTGTGGGCTGTCAGGGGCTGTAGAGGTGGTCCAGGTCCCCATGGCGCCTCCCCAGAGTCCTGTGTCCCTCCGGCCACTGACCGCAGCCAGCCCAGGCCACCTCACCTCTCAGCCAGGCAGAGGAGCAGCTCAGGCCCAGAGCACAGCTCCAAGATGAGCACCAGGTGCCGGGGGCTGAGGTAGGCAGCATGCAGCTGGGCCAGGTGTGGGTGGCGCAGGCTCTTGAGGGCCTCGTATTCACGCAGCACGGCCATCTTGTCCTCAGGTCGGTAGGGGATGATCTTAGCAGCCAGCGCCCGCCCGCTGGCCTTCTCCCGGCACTGTCGTACCATGCTGAAGCGGCCCCTGGGGGAGGGAAGCACAAGGCAGGCTGGTCAGCAGCCCCTTCCAGCACCCTCCCCAACACTCAGAGCAGCAGGGACCCAGCTCAGCGAGGTGGGGGCCAGCAGCCAGATGCATGGGAAGATGCTTGGAGCCCAGTGTGGGTGGGGGCAGAGTGGAGCACGAACAGCCAGCAGCAGGGAGATCGAGGCATGGTGGCCAGCCACCCGCCATCCCCAGAGGCCCCAGCACCTCCGGATCTGCGTCTGGAAGGTGAAGGTCTGTGTGCTGGGGAGGGGCTGGGCCGGCCGCCCCTGGCTACTCTCATCCTCAGAGGCTGTGGGAGGAGGAGCAGGTGACAGGTAAGGGGGGCATCCCAGCAGCCCCACCTCACCTGCCTGTCTCTCCTTACTCCTTCCCAGGCACCCAGTCCAGTGGCCTTTCTTTGAGGTGCCACGTACTCCGACCTATCATTTCTCAGGCTGGGGGAGGGGGAGAGGGGAGAAGGGGAGGATCACAGTGAGCAGAACAGCCACTGCAAGTGACAGTGTGTGTGATGTGGCAGGGGACATTCCGGGATGGACCTTGAATAGCAATCTACCTGCTTCCCCCACTCCTGAGCCCACAGCAGACATGAATAATCAATCCCAGTGCTCTTCCACTGAATCCAGAAGCAGTGCCCAAGGAATTCACTAGCAACACTCAGTATGAAACAGGGTAGATTCGTGTGCTCCCCAGCAGGTGAGTGAAGGGGGCTGGGGATGAGAGGGACCCCAGAGTGTGCAGGCTGAGCCAAGAGTGGCTTTCTCTGCCCAAAGGCAGTGGACAGCCTCAAACACCATGGCCAGGAGGGTGCATGTGCTTGGTGTGCCAGGCACCCCATCCACTCCATCCACCTCATCCACCCCCTGCCAGGCCCTGTGCAGGGCTCACCCAGGTGGCTGGGCCCTCCCAGGAGGACCTTCTCCGAGGGGCTGCTGTAGGGGCCCATTCCTGCCTTGCTGACGCATGCCGTCCGGAAGGCATACACACCACCCCGAGAAAGCTTGCTGGCGAGGTAGCAGCAGTCATAGATGTCAGAGGCCAGCGTGGTCCAGCTGCCACCTGTGCCACATGGGAGCAGTGAGGCAGCCAGGCCTCCGCACTCCACATTGAGGGGAGGAGGGTGCAGAGACCACGCTCACCTTCCAGGCTGCACTGCACGATGTAAGTCACTGGGCCATAGGACTCCATGGGCTTCCAGACCAGCAGCACCCCGTCTGCATACACCTCCCCAATGTCCGGGCAAGGGGAGGATAAGGGGCGCTCTGCAAGGGGCCGCCCGACACTCAGCAGCTTCGGGGTGGGCACCAGCTCCCGGGCCAGGTCCTCCCTCACCCTTTGCGGCTGCTGGGCTCCTGAGCCCTCCCCCTCCTGGTCCCGTTCATTTGGCGGTTCCATTCCATCAAGGACTGGATGAAGGGGCCAGTGCGTTTCCTGGCCTGGGGCTTGGGAGGTGTCTGCCCTGAAGGTCCCCTCCCAGGCCAGCCCCTTCCCTAGTGAGTGCCCAGGAGCCCCGTGGAGTGGCCCAGACTCTGGTCGAAGGGGTCTTGGCCAGGCTGCTCTGCTTGCACAGGGCATGTGGGCATCAGCCCCCTCTGGAAACTGGGCCGGGGGTCCCAGAGCTAGGCCCACAGCCCCCTCTTGGCTGCCCTAGAAGCACGCCCCAGGAACTGTGTTTTGTGCTTGGGGCTCAACTTTAAACGAGATACAAAGGAAACGGCTTCCTGCATCGGCTGGAGGGATGGGCACAGAGCAGTGTGGGGAGACAGAGTGGCAGGGTCCATGGCCCGGAAAGCTCACTCCTCCCCAGCAAACAGACAAATGGACGGGCTTTCTCCCTGGGGCAGCAGTGTGGACAAACAGGCCTTGTCCCACGCACTGTAACATCAGTAGCTGTGTCCGGTTGTCCTTCCCCTTCTCCTGGCTACGCTGCTCCCACCAAGACCAGCTCAGGGCAGCCCATCCGACTGACCTCTGTGTTAGCCTTTGCAGGCTGCCTGCAGCCTCTTCCAGACCCTGGCCATCCCAGAAGGCACCCGCGGCAGCCATGTGTGTCATAACCAGGGCTGCTCAGGGGGGACGTGGACACCTGGGCGGGCACCCCCGGCTGGTGGGAGCTAGCATCAGCCAGCTCACAGAGCCAGGAGAGGTTTCTGGGCATCCCTAGACGGCCTTGCTGGCCCACCAAAACCTCCGGCGTGGCACACCCACCTGCCTTCCGGAGGACAGCCACGGTGGCCGCAGTCCCCAGCGTGTTGCTCACGCTGCAGGTGTACACTCCCAGGTCCTCGGCGGTCACCACCAGGATGGTCAGAAGATGGAAATTCTTGAGGGTGGAGGAGATGAGGAGGCGGCTGCTGCCCTCCAGGAGGGCCCCATCTGCAGCAGGACACAACGGGCCTCATGGTCACACGTGGGGCCCCACACACCCCCTCTCTGGGCCTCAGTTTCCCTTTGTACAGCAATGGCAAATGGCTGGGCTTATGATGACCACTCGCCGGCTCTGTCCAGCCCCCTGGGCCCTTGGCCAGCTCCTTACCTTTGCTCCAGGTGGCCTGGGTGGCTGGCTGGGCTAACACTTGGCAGGCCAGAGTCACCGATTGGCCCAGGACCACGGTCTCGTCCGAAAGCTCCCTTAGGAATGACGGTGCTAAAAAGGCAGAATGAGATGAGCCTTCAGAGGAGACCTCCAGGCTCGAGAGCGTGGCCTGGACCCCGCAGCAGAGAAACCAAGAGGAGCCCTGCCCGCCCAACCCATCCTCAACACCACCTCCAGGAAGCCCTCCAAGATTGCACAGCCCTCGTCTTATCTGCGATGTGATGTAAGCTCGCCGCCCCCACCCCCGGCTGTCAGAGGCAGGTCCCTGGGAAGCGGGGGAGGGGGGCCTGCTCACCTTGGTCCCTGCTCTTCAGACCCGACAGCCGGAAGGAAGCTAGACCTGGCTTCTTCCTGGGGGGCCCCTGCTTTTCAGGACCTGCAGGAGGAAGAGGCCCGAGGGAGGTCACAGACAGGGGAGGCTCCTCTGGGCCCCCCCAGAACAGCTCAGGTGGGAAGAACTCCGGGTCCACTGCTGCCCACTCCCCAGACCTCCCTGCACAGGGAAAAGGCCGGTCCATGGGGTTCTGTGGAGAACAAGCTCAGCATGCTCGGCAGGTCCCCTCCCTACCCCTCAGCATCGGCTCGTCCTGGGGAGCTGAGGCCTGTACAGGGGCCGAGGCACCAGGGGAGGCACTGAGAACTCAGGGCTGGGGAGAGTCTGGGGTCAGGGAGGGTCTGGGGTCAGGTAGGGTCTAGGGTCAGGGAGGATTCTGGGTTAGGGGAGGGTCTAGGGTCAGGGAGGATTCTGGGTTAGGGGAGGGTCTAGGGTCAGGGAGGAATCTGGGTTAGGGGAGGGTCTAGGGTCAGGGAGGATTCTGGGTCAGGGAGGGTCCAGCCAGCGTCAGGGAGACTCTGGGTCAGGGAGGGTCCAGCCAGCTTCAGGGAGGACTCTGGGTCAGGGAGGGTCTAGGGTCAGGGAGGACTCTGGGTTAGGGGAGGGTCTAGGGTCAGGGAGGATTCTGGGTTAGGGGAGGGTCTAGGGTCAGGGAGGGTCTGCGGTCAGGAGGAGTGTGGCCTGGGTCAAGTTCTCTCCCCAGGGGATAGCCCACAGCCCTCTCCAGGCCTCCACAGTCATGTTGGTTCCCAGGGCTGAGTCTCCACTGCCTAGCTGGGAGGGGCATCAGGACCGCAGATGTGACTCTGGACTCCTGCGTGTGGTGGGAGGCATGGGTGACACTGGTGCGCCAGGAAGGGGATCCTGGGGGGCTTCCTTCTGTCACCCAAACAGGGTACTGAGCTATCATTCCCAGGAACAAGAGGGCAAAGTGACCCCAAGGGTGCAGAATGGGGAGGGAGGACTTGCCCGGGGGGACGTGCCCAAGGGCTCGGGGTGGGGTGAGAGGGGGAGTCACCTTCTGGCCTGCCCTTCAGGATCCGGGAGATGTGTGCCACAGAGGCCTTCACCCGCTGGTGCAGTCTGAGCTCCGTGGGCTCTTCCAGTGGCAGGTACCTCCCGGGGAAGCGGAAGAGGCTGCGTGTGGGGGAGGGCCACTTGCGTTTCCTGCCCATGGTGGCCTCCCCCACCAGGGCCTCCATGTCCTCTGGCTCCTCTGTGATCTCCAGGTTGGCGCGTGGGCCCAGCTCACCCGGCCAGGGCCACATGGCTTCCGGGACCTCTGCCAGCTCCTCCCCGGCCTCAGCCTCAGGGGAGAGCAGCTCCTGCTCCTGCTCCGTGGGCTTAGGAACCCTCCTGAAGATCATGAACTCAAAGGGCAGGTATTTGATGTCGTACAGATCAGAGAGGTTGAGGTAGGCGGGATCCACCTCAGAAATATCCAGGGATATGGTGTCAGCTGCCTCTGCGTCACCCGACAGGTCCCGGATCTGCACCAGGGAGACTTGCCCAACATCCTCCCATGAGGTCAGCTCTGGGGAGGCCCTTGGGGGTACCCTACTGGCCTCAGGCATGGGTTCCACGCTGGCCTGGGGCAGTGGGCTCTCGGCCCTGACCTCATCCTGCTCCTCTGAGGACTGGGACACAGCCCAGGCCATCCTGGCCCACAGGGGACCCTGCCCCAGCATGCCCCCTGCATCCCCACCAAAGGCAAACGTGCCATAGCCCGCCACCCCCGCGTAACCCCCACGCCACCCCAGGGAGAACTTCCGGGTGGTCGCCTGTTCCTGAGAATGCTGCAGGGTGGGTGTCGAATCAGATGAGCCTCCGGCCTCCTGGGACAAGCCCTCAGCATCCAGAGAGGGGCCAGACTCCATGCCCACCTGGGACGCTGGCCCTGGGGCACTGGAAAGGCCTGGCTGTGGCATCCTGGGAAGAGAGCTTTCCTCCGGCTCCACCTTAGAGCCTGGCGGGGGGCTTGCCTGGGTTGGGGAGGGTGGCATTTGGGGATCTCCCAAGAGGAAAGGTCTCGAGGGTGCCAAGAGGGCCTCCTTGCATGACCTCGAAGGGAAAGAGCCAGGGGACTGTGGTGCAACAACCAAGGGAGCCCCACAGCCCTCCTGGGGGGCAGAACCCCCCTCAGGGTCACAGAAAGGGGCTGGCTGCTCCTGGTGGCTGTCCTGGGAGGGCGCCTCTGGCTGAGCAGAGCCCGCGTCTCTATGAGTGGATGGAAGTAGCTTCGGCACCTGCAGGGGCTCCTTGGGATGCCCCATCTCCCTGGCAGAGCCCCCGTGAGCCACTCCCGAAGGGGCCAGGAGTGGACACTGTCCCTCGCAGCAGGCCTCTGAGGAGGGGCTGGCGGTGCTGGGTGGGTCCTGGTCCAGTGAGTGGCTGCGGCCAGGGACCTCGCGGGTTCCGGAGCCAGGCAGCCGCAGGGCAGTCTCAAAGGAGGATGCTTTGGCCATCGGCGTGGCCTGCTCCTCCTTGGCGGCCTCCTCCTCCAGCACACGGTGCTCCAGCAGCGGCTCGCGCAGGCCAGGCAGGGCCCCTGCGATGTATCCACCCTTCAGCAGGTGCCGCCGCCGGGCCGGGTGCCGCCTGCTCCCCAGGGCCGGGTCCCTGCGCTCCGGGCCCTCGCCCGCCTGCTGGTAGAACAGGCTGCGGATGACGCTGTGCCGGGGCACACAGCCAGGGGAGGCCGGCGGCCCTGCACCCTGGGGTGACGCGGGCGGGGCTGCAGCTGTGGCCGCCTCGGGTGCGCAGGCCTCAGCCTCCTCCGGCAGGCTGGACGAGGGCCGCAAGAAGCCCCGAGGGTGCAGCAGCGGGGAGTGGGTCACCGGGGAGGGCGGCAGCGACTTGGCGCGTGCGAATGGGGCAAGCTCGGTGTCGGAGGAGGAGGAGGAGCTGGAGGAGCTGCCGGCATCACCGCGCAGGTGCCGGGCCACTCCGAGCGACGGGCTGTCGGGCGGGCCCTGCAGCAGCTCAGGGATGGAGCGCATCACCAGGATGGACTTGTAGCTCATCAGCGAACGCTGGGGACGGCAAGCAGACATAGGGGGCGTCAGGCAGGCGTGGCTGGCCAGGGCAAAGGGCAGGGTGCTCACCATCTTCTGGGTTCCAGAGTGGAAATACAGGAGATATGGAGCCCTCTGCACCCCGGGGCTCTGCTGTTCTGCCCTGCTCCCTGGTGTGGCTGGGATGTGTGGATGCGTCCCCTCCTGTGCCCTGCCAGTGACTCCTTCCCTCCTCTCTGAGCACACCCAAGGGAGCCCGCCCAGATCCCCAGTGAAGAATGCCCAGCCCCATATCCCTGCACTGTCAGACTTGGCTGATACACATAGCTGGCCCTCCAGGCCTCAGTTTCCCCTTCACTGGCCTCC